GGCTGGGCTCTGCCGCAGCACCGACAGCAAAAATACACAAAATAATGAGCATGAAAATAGAACAACTTAAATGCCGTGGTGCCCCGAGTCCCGGCTCACAGCGATGCCACGCGTGGCCGTGCTGAGGGCAGGGCAGCCCACGAGCTGCAGTCTGCTGCTAATCCCCATGCAAAGGACAAAATGAAAATTATTACTTCGTGCAGATTTTATTTTACCCAGGCTATTTAAATAGAGAGTCGCAATAATAAACCTCCTCTCGAGCCAATTAAAAAAACGATGGTTAATGGAGATTTGTGTGCACTTGCATTTAGCATTGGGGGGGTGTGGAAAGAGGGAAAGCGGCTAATTGCAGGCACTAATCAGGACCCTAATCCCCCTCCCAGCAGGCACAGAGATGGCCCTGAATGCCGTTAGTTGAAATCACTTAAATGTAGGTCTGTCTGACCTCAAGGGGCACAAACGAAAAGAAATGGAAGGCTGATTTTTAAATTTCAAACAACAACAACAAAAAAGAGTGACTTTAATGACAAGTTCACTCAATGGGGAGGAAATGTAAAGCTCAGCGGAAGCGTTAATTCCATGGCGATGGTGTAAAATAGCTTTTTTTGTATAAACAAGGCAAATATTGATAACTTGGTTGGGGGAGAAAGGGGGAGTCATTTGTTTCGTTCTTTGTAGAGCTCCACAGAACGAGCCAACTATAAATTATCGAGAATTTAGGGCTGAGAATTACTTTAGGGGATTATTACTCCCTCTTAGGACTGATCTGTAGGAGATATTAGGAGAACACAGCAAGCTCAGCATTGAAATAGAAATCATGTTGTTGCCAAGAAAGTTTGATTTATAAAGTGGAAACATCTTTAAAATGCACTCGCTATCTTTTTAATGTCCGACTGCTTCATTGTGGGAGGGGAAAAAAAGAGATTATTTTATATTAAAAGGATCATCAAAAGATAAAAAGTTTATGTTAACAAAGTTCCCTGAACTTTGGAGAAAAGCGCTCGGATCCCTCAGAGCGCCCGTGGCAGCGGGATGGGCGCCGGCTCCATCACTCAGAGCCTTCCTCTCCTTCCTCCTCTTTGAGGTTTGCTCTAATTCCGCTTTTCTCCTCCGGAGGATTATCTGCTGGTGGTTTTAAAGGGCTGGAAGTCTGCGGTGCAGAGATTGCCCATCCCCGGCGCTGCCCTGGGTACCCGCGGCTGCCCGAGCCGGGCGGAACGAGAGGCAAAGCGGGCACGGGGGATCCCTGCGGGCACTGCCCGGCTCGAGGGGCGTTTGCAGGGCAGATTTATCGGGGGGCCGGGGGAATCCCGTTATTTGAGCAGCCCTTTTCCTCGGAGGGAATCCCGTTATTTGAGCAGCCCCGTTCCTCGGAGGGAATCCCGTTATTTGAGCAGCCCCGTTCCTCGGAGGGAACCCCTCTGTTGTTTGAGCATCCTCTCTCCGCAGATCCCTGGCTGCTCCCGGTCCCTCTTCCCGGTTCCTTCTGCAGCATCCCGGTCCCCATCCCTGCTCACAGCCCATTTCAGGGATGGGGGAATGAATCCAGCGCCCACAGCGAGCTGTGAGTGCCTGGTTTTGGAAATGATTGTTCACAAACTTTCCCGTGTGTGTGTATTTATATATGTGTGTGTGTTTGTTAAAACAAACAAAAACCGCTCCAAAACCAAACCAACCAACCAAAAAATCCCTTCTCCCAGAAAAACTACAGAAGCAAAAAATATCCTAAAAATCCATTGAAAAGTTCCAGTGGGTGAGATCCTGTTAAATGAAATCAATCAAATCAATCTAGACGCTGATGAAGGGCACAGGGTGTATTAGAGGATGCAGATGCAGCTGCACATCTGGATTCCTCCCCTCCAGCCGCCCTGCTGTGGGGGCATCGCTGTGTCCTAGCAGGGTGCACACCTTTCCTGCGGGATTTCAGGAATTCCACACTTGTGAAATTGTGTGAGGGGTGGGGAAGGCAGAAAGCAAATGAGGGATTTCGTTATAAATCTGGCTTTCCGATTTCTTCCTCTCACTTTTATGTGCTATTATTTGGCTGAACAATTGTAGATTCTTTTGTAGCTCGTGGCAAACCATTCTTTGTGAAATCTCATCTTTCAGACTTTATTTCTGCTGGAAGTTAATCTTTGCTTCCACAGCTTTCCTGGCTCGGGATTTCTTCTTTCTGTTAGATTATTTATTGAGTTGTTCCCTAGGGTTTTTTCCCAAGGTGCCGGTCTTTGCAGCATTGTGATTTCTATCCAGGTATTGCCAAGAATAAACAATTTGATAAAGTTTCTGTTTCATCAGTAAAAAATGCCAGTTCATAGGGTGTCTGGTCAAATTTTTGTGAGCAGCTCCTGAAGAGAAAATAATGTGTCATTTCTCTGTGGCAGCAGAACTGCCCCTGAGGCGAAGCAGGGGGCTCGAGATACTGAACTTGAGTTTTGGCTGGAGTGCATGGTGTGCACAGGTACAAAGCCAGCTTTGGTCTCTATGGTAGCAGGTTTAAGAAGCATATGTAGGAAAATGCTGAAGAGTTAAAAAGTAGAATCGATAAAGCATCTTGCATGTGCGGAAAGGACACAAATCCCCTTTAGATGTTCAAGTTTCATTTTAAAAGTGGCTTATTTCAGTTTTTTAAAAAAAATCTGTTCCTAATCAACTTTAGTAAACCAAAATAAAACTAGTTTTTAGGACATCAAGGTCTGAAGAAGTATAAATGCTTTGGCTAAGCTGGTGCAGCTTTCCTGTGTGAATAATCCTTTAAAAGTTAAATTTTCCATGGCTCTGTAGGGCATATGGATGCCCAGTTCTCATTACAATTAAAGGGAAATATTTGTCCAGAATCTTTTGAGGCAGTTACAAGAATTTCTACTGATGTTTTTTGATTCAAAAGCAAACCTTAATATCCGAGATCAACGAAGGAATGTGAACCGTCAATATAAAACATAGAAATAAAATAGATATTTGAGGAATGTTTGATCTGCTTGCTCCTAAATTTGGGGTCCTGGAATTATCCTGTTCAGGCAAAGTCCTGCTTTTAGAGAAAAAGCAGGAGTGAACTCCAATGGCTCTTGGCTGTGCTGCTGAAG